GACTGTATCTGTAATTCCAAGTATATATTTGTAGTCTGTGAAGAGGTGGAAAGAATGTAGAATTTGGAATTGGGCTTTATATATATATATTTTTAGAAGATGTAGTTTAACATCTCCAAACCTTGATTTTCCAATCATTGCCATTAGTAACAATAACCATTGCGTAGCTTCATTTTAAGGAGTAAATGAGTTAACTCATTTGGTGTCTTGCATTCAGTAGGATCTCAAAGTCAATTCTTTTCTTCATTGGTGAGATCTTTTTTAAAAGTTAGTTCCAGATTTGATAATACTACATCTATAAGGAATTTTCTAATGATCTCCCTGGAGATGTAAAAGCAATTAAAGAGAATTGTGTGGCTTCTACAAGTGAAGACAAAAAGAGTAAGAGACAGGCAAATAAATAAGTTCCCTGAATATTTTTTTAAAAAATATTTGTTTGATTACTATGTTCAAAATGGTGTGTTAGAGTGCCGTCTTGTGCTAGGAATATGTGCTTTTGGAAGTAGGAGTTTTATGAGCAGTTGGTTTTAGTGTAAAGCACTTAATAGTGTTAAGATGACTCAAAGGAAATGCCAGTCATTTGGCTAGGGAAGCCCTCATCTCTGGCTTTTGAAAAGTTCTAAGCATTTATTTTATTCTGAGTATTTCTGATGGTATGCTCTTAACAGTTCTAGAGATAAATTTCATCTTACCTAAAATAAGATCATTATGATTTATAATATTTTAAGTATGGAATGTTTAATATTTTTAGTTTTAGAAGTAATCTGTGCCAGTCTGGTGGTAAATGCCTTTGGACATATTTGACTTTCTTTATTCTTATTAAAACAAGCTAATACCACCACACAAAGAAGTGCCTATAGAAGATAGCCATTCTAACAGGAATGAGGTGGAATCTTAATGTGGTTTTGATTTGCAATTCCTTTATGGCCAGGGATGTTGAGCATTTCTTTTTTTTTTTGACCATTTAGACTTCTTCCTTTGAAACAGCTGTGTTCAGTTCATTTACCCATCTTTTCATTAGGTCATTGATTTTTTGAGAGTTTAGTTTTTTGAGCTCCCTGTATATTCTAGTTATCAATCTCTTGTCAGATGTATAGTTGGCAAAGATTTTCTCCCATTCTGTCGGCTGCCTCTTCAATCTGGTGACCATTTCTTTTGTCATGCTGAAGCTTTTCAATTTCATGTAATCCCATTTATCAATCCTTTCTCTTAGTTGCTGGGCCATTGGAGTTCTATTTAGGAAGTCATAGCCTATACCTATCAATTCCAGTGTATTCCCTGTTCTTTCCTACACTAGCTTCAAAGTTTCAGGTCTGATATTAAGGTTCTTAGTCTACTTTTAGTTAATACTTGTACAGGGTGAAAGTCATGGATCTAGTTTTAGATACCCAGTTTTCCCAGCAACATTTGTTGAAGAAGCTGTCTTTTCTCCATCATACATTCTGGGTGCCTTTGTCAAAATTCAGGTGGGTGTAGCTGCATGGATTCATATCTGATTCTTCTATTCCACTGGTTTTAATATCTGTTGTGCCAGTACCATGCTGTTTTTATTGCTATGGCTCTACAGTGTGGTTTGAAGTTGGGTATTGTGATACCTCCAGCATTGCTGTTTTTCCTCAGTGTGCCTTGGCTATCCACGGTCTTTTGTGCTTCCAGATGAACTTTAGGGTTGATTTTTCAATCTCTGTGATGAATGTCATTGGAATTTTGATGGGGATTACATCGAACATGTAAATTGGTTTTGATAATACAGCTGTTTTCACAATATTGATTCTGCCAATCCATGAGCTTAGGAGATCTTTCCATCTTCTGTAGTCTTCTTCGATTTGTTTCTTCAGTGGTTTATCGTTTTCATTGTAGAGGTCTTTCACTTTCTTTGTAAAATTTATTCCTAGATATTTTTTGAGGCTATTATAAATGGAATTGTTTTTCTATATTCTTTATCAAAGACTGTTCATTGTTGGTATATAGAAAGGTTGCTGATTTTTGAAGCTGTTTTTATAGCCTGACTCTTTGCTAAAGGTGCTTACGATGTCTGAGAGTTTTTTGGTGAAGTTTTTTTTTGGATCTTTTAAGTGTAAGATCATGTCATGTGCAAATAGGGATAGCTTGACTGCTTCCTTTCCTACTCATAGTCCTTTTATTTCTTCTTGCTGTCTTACTGCTCTGGCTAGAAATTTCAAGACTGTGTTGAATAGGAGTGGAGACAGTGGACACCCTTGTGTCATTCCTGACTTTAGAGAAAGTGTTTTCAGTTTTATCCCATTTAGTATGATGTTGGCCATAGGCTCGTCATATACATGCTTTATTATGTTGAGGTACATTTCTTCTATTTGTAGTTTCATCAGAGCTTTTATCATGAAAGGATGTTGAATTTTGTCAGAGGCTTTTTCTGCATCCATTGAGGTGATCATGTGGTTTTTGTTTTTGCTTCTGTTAATATGCTGTATTATGTTTAATGATTTGCATATGTTGAACCATCCCTGCATCCCTGAGATGAAACCGACTTGATGATGGTGTATGATCTTGATACATTGTTGAATTTGGTTTGCCAGTAGTTTCATAATACTGATTGTGGTTGTATTTGGTCTTTATTCCACATATGAGAGAAAACATGTGCCCTTTGATTTTCTGAACCTGGCTCACTTCACTTAAGATGATGATTTCCAGTTCCATCCATTTACCTACAAATGGAAAATTTCATTCTTCTTTGTGGCTGAATAGAATTCCATTGTATATAAGTACCACATTTTCTTAATCCGTTCATGAGTAGTGGCCATCTTGTCTGTTTCCATAGTTTATGTATTGTGAATAATGCTGCGATAAATACAGGTGCGCAGGTGCCTTTCTTGTAACCTGACTTGCATTCCTTTGGGTATAACCCTAGGAGTGGTATTGCTGGATCATATGGCAGTTCTATTTCTAGTGTTTTGAGGAGCCTCCATAATTTATGTAGTAATTTATATTCCCTTCAACAGTGTAGAAAGGTTCCTTTTTCCCCATATCCCCATGATAGCTATTCTAAATTGTGTGGTCACTGACAAATATATAGGGAAAAAAGATTTTTTTCTTTTGTGTATTCCTGTTTGTTTATTTATTTATTTTTGTGGAACTAAGGTTTGAACTCAGGGCTTCATGCCTGCAAAGTAGGTGCTCTACCACTTAAGCTACAACTCCAGCCTTGTATTCCTGTTTAGAAGTAAGAAAGCATTGCCTAGAAGTTCCATGGAAGACTTCTTATGTTTTACTAGCCAGAATTGGGTTCTCTGCCATCCTTAAACAAATCTTTGTAGAGGGGCAGGGTGTATTTCACATGCAGTGGATGTATGTGGGAAGTCCAGTCTCCATACAGTTACAGTAACTAGTGTAACAACTCCTCTTAAGAAGTAGGTAAAGAATTCACTGATTAAAGAGTTAGAAGTAGGTTAAGTAGAGTAGAATTTGAGTTCCAACACCGGTACTTAATAACTGTGTGATTTTGGTTAAGTTTCTTAATTCTCTAAATATGTATTTCTCCGTCTATAAAATGGAGATTGTAATACTTAGTTCTTAGGGTTGTTTTTAGGATTAAATGAGGTATGACAAAAATCAGATTTTAACATTTGTAAAGAATTCACAAATGTAGTTCCGGTATTTTATTTACTCAAAGGAAACTATATAATAATGGAATTTGCACTTTGAAGAGTTTATCTTTTTTTTTTTTCCTTTGTGGTATTGGTGCTTGAATCCAGGTCCTTAATGTATGCTAGGCAAACGCTACCAGTTGAGTTACTCCCCCAGTCTTTTTTTTTTTTGAGGGGGAGTGTACTAGGATTTGAACTTAGGGCCTTGTGTTTGCCAGTCAGGCATGTACCATGTGAGCCACCCCATCAACCCTTTTTGCTTTAGTTATTTTTTGAAAAGTGTCATATGTTTATGTCCAGGCTAGCCTGGACTGCCATCCTCCCATTTACCCTCCCTGTATAGCTGGGATGATAAATGTGCCACCACACCTATGGCTTGGGATGCGTTCTGTTAACTGTTGCCAGGGCTGACCTTGAACTGATCTCTGCTTCCTAAACAGCTAGGATTACAGGCTTGAGGTGCCCAGCTTGTGTTTTGGTTTTGAGATAGGATGTTGCTAATTGTGCCTTGCTAGTCTTGAACATGCTATCTTCCTGTCTCTGTCTCCGCAGTAGGTAAGATTGCAGATGTGTACCACCATCCACCATGCTCAGCTATAGTTTTATCTTTTTCTGAAGATATACTATAAAGTGCCTAGACTGAAGTTGTTGGAGTTCCCATTTCCTTCTTTAGTTCTCTTGTATTCAAATAAAACAAAAAAAAGTACTGGCACAAAGCACTCTTGAAGGGAAGAGATTAGAATTCAGTGAATCATTTCATCGTATGGTATAACCATTCAGAATGTGGTAGCTAAAATAGACAAGTTTAGGGAGGTCACATAAAAGAATTAAATAATATCTCAATCTTTATTTATCCCTTCTCTTCACATTGTATTCATTTTGTTACAGAAATGAGTTTTTAAAGATACATAAGGCTTCATTTCAATAAAATGGAACATTTATTCTGGTTATTTATAGATTATTTTATGCTGCTTCTGTTTGCAGCTTTAAATTATCTTCTGCCCTTTTTTTTTTTAACTCCCAGATGGCTCCCTTTCTCTCCTTTCAGTGTCTCTATATGAACCCTCCATTAATGTCATATGCTTGTGAATTGAGTGCAGTAATAATTTTCTATACAATAGGTACAGTAATATGGGAAATTGTAGTAAGTTTAATACAGGCTACCGCTAATGCAGTTTATGTGGTTGTGTCAACCAACACTTCACTATATTTGGGGTAGCATGAAGGGAAAATGAAGTGCATATTTTATGAAAATGTACTATTGTGTGAGTAACACGAGCAATTTCTCTTAATGTAGGTTTCTGCATTTTAATCATTTTTTGGCTATAATAAAAAGTCTGACAAAGATGTCATTCTTTCATTCTTTGATGTTTGCAGATGGCTTGTTCAATCAGTATATCAGTCAACAGGAATATAAACCACGATGGAGTCAAATCATACCCAAAAGCACCAAAGGTAAGCCATACTTTCTAGATTGTGATACTTTTTGTTGAATGTATTGCTTTTCAATACCAAGTGTCATAGTCCTGTGCTAATGAAGAGCAGGTGTTTAAATCAAAACAGTTTTCTAACAATTGAATCATTAAAGGCACGTAACATTGAGTACTATAGCGAGTTTGGAGCCTTAGATGTTGTGTCCCTCTTTGAGATGTAGAGCATAGAGGGATTTGCTTTTAATAGGGACTATTTTTCACCAAAACTCAAAACATGATTCAGAGTTTAGTCTCCTTCATTAATCCATCATTTTCATAGAGGAGAAGTTTTTGTCATTTCTTCGTCTGTACTCACTGCTTAACATAGCAGAAAGTATAGCAAGGTTTTAATGCATCTACTTGCATTAAAGGAAAGTAGTTCTCTAGATACCAGCTTTTTTTCTTTATGATCTTCTTACATTCCTAAGGACTTGTCTTGAATTGTGAGAAAGCTTTCCCCTGATAGCATTAAACATTAATGTGCATGGAAAAATTGCTTTTGAACTTGTATAATTTCTGTGTGAACATCATTCTCTTATTTTATTAGTCATGTATGAGGTAATTTTCTGCAAAGATACATGTATTTGCTTGCAAATAGATTAAATATATAAAATGCAAATATACCGAAAATTAGTAATTTAGTGTTTTCTTAATCTAGTATTTAAGCTAGCAATACTGACTGGCAGAGGGAAGAACAAAAGGGTAAGGCTTAAATGATAATGAACCTCAAAATCTGAAACAGCACCTAACTGTTCGAAAGGAAAAAGAATTTATAGGGAACTTGAAATGATTAGCCATTGAATATAGTCAAAATGAGAATATTTGGCTTTACCTCTTGTTTTCTGTGTATAGTCATGTGCTGCATAGCATTTTGGTCAGTGATGGTGGGCCACATAAGCTTGTAATGAACCAGCATTTTGACTGAACTTTTTCTGTGTTGATGGCCAGGTGCTTATCCATTGTGGTACAGTTGCCTGTTCTGTCAGTAATGTGCTGCACAGGCTTGTAGCCTAGGAACAACAGATTTTACCCACGTGACTAGGTATATAGTAGGCTATATATACCATCTAGGTTAGTAAATACGCTCTTACGATGTTTAAAAAATGGTAAAATTTCCTAATGACAGATTTCTCAGAAAGTATTCCCATCCTAAGTGATGCATAACTATATAAAAACACATTTGATTTTTTTTCTTTTTGTGGTTCCCCAGAGAAATTAGTAAAAAAAAATTGAGTGTTCTCAATTTTACCTGGGAGAAATGGGGAAGCTTATTAGCCAAAGTAATTTGTTTCAGCTAATGGGAGATTTATGAAGAAAACCTTAAGCTTTCTGGTTTATGTCAAGTAAAATATTAGAATCATATAACCTTTTGAACCATTAAAAGAAGGTATTTCTTTCAGGAGGCTGAGTCAGGAGGATCATGGATTTGTGGCCATAGCAACATCCTGTCTCCAAGTACCATAGATAGACAGATAGATAGACAGATAGACAGATAGATAGATAGATAGATAGATAAGGTGTAAGGTAGGATTAGGTACAAGTAGAATAGTAGTTTTCTTTAAAAGTTTTTATGAAAAGCTTCCCTATTTATATTTAAATCTGCCTATTAAAACTCTAAGTAGAAATAAAAACAGTAAATCTCATGTTTCTTCGTACTCAAGTTAAATAGTTGATAAATTATTTGAGAACTGATTTCTGAAATATTAGCACAAAATAAATACAGTAAGGAACTTATTATTAAAATAAAGCTTGATAACACCTTAATTTTCAGTAACCCCTTTTATCAACCTTAAAACTGCTCATTGTACTAATAAACCATGCCTGGAATGTAGCCATGAGACCTTATTTTGTGATTGTTTTGGCACATCAGCAGTTGAGAGATTTTTTTTCTTAAATTTTTGTGGACTTTTGTGTGTCTTTGCTGACTTACACTATTTCTCATAAAAAATTAAAAGTTGTTTCAAATTTCATTGATAGCCTGAAAGGAATTGGAAGGATAAGATAATTACTCTGAACATAGACGTAAGACATGTTTCTTTTATGAGTCCTTTTTCTTATTTTTAATATTTTGAAAGAACAAATTGTTTTTACTATACATTTCCTCTCAAGTTGTAGTTGTTGTAAGAGAAAATATTGTTTCTACTTTAGGTGATGGAGAAGATAACCGACCAGGAATGAGAGGAGGCCATCAGATGGTTATTGATGTTCAGACAGGTGAGTCACACTTGCAATGGAAAGCAAAATCTTTTTAAAAATTATGCCTTTTTTTCAAGGTCTCAGCATAATTCTAGAGGTCAAGTGTTACTATACATCAGCAGTAAATTCAGGTAATACATGTGAACACATCACTGATGTACATTTTTAAACAGCAGATAAAAGTAATTGTGTTTCATTCATTATAGAGGTTAAACGTCACTGGCATCATCTAAGCCAGGCAGCGGCAGTTAGTGAGAGAGGAGAGTTTGTGCAAAGAAAGTACATCACTTAAAAGAAATACAGTGTGAGGCCCTTCATAGTTGAGCACACCATGTGTGTAGTTTATGTGAGTTGCACTTTTATAGAAAACTGAAAAGTTTCTGGATTTTTGGTGCATTTGTATTTTAAAATACTAACATGGGAATTACTGGAATGAAAGAGAATTAAGATGTATTTTTAAGGGAGAGAACATCAAATTCAGTGTAAAGTATTAGTAGGCCCTTAAGTATTAATCATTGTTCACAAGCCCATAAATAATTGGTCTTAGTTGCTGTTTTTTGCTGTCTATTAAATTTTATTCTGAAGCTTTCTACTAGAAGTTTTTCTTAGGTATGTAGAGCCTAGGACAGCTTAATTATCGTTGTATTGGTGGTCCATGTCAAAGTGTAATTGTTTTCAAATTAACATCTTGGAAACAAATAATACCAAGATTCTAGGATAATTGTATTACTTGATTTTAGAAAACTTTACTACATATAGTGCAAGTATCCACTCAAGTAACATTTTACTTTTTCTAAGAGTAATAAAAACTCAGTTCTCTTATTGTATGCTGACTCACAGTGCCTCAGGAATTAAAAATTGCTTTTGTAGAATACTGTTACAGAATAATTACAAAAACATACTGTGTGGATATTAAATCTTCTTGGTAGGAATGTATTTCATGAATTTCTTAAATAAGAGATTATACTTTTCATTTTAAAATTAACTAGTGAATATGTACAGTAACTTCTGAACTGGTTTGAAGATAACGTTAAGTCTCTTTGGAAAAGGTTAATTTCAAGGTTTACTAATTTGCTTTCCTAATCTTGGTCTCTTCTCCAAACTCCTGTCTATCCTATGTAAATATGCTTGAATTCATTATAGAGTTTAAGGCATGTATTTTTTCTGCATGAGAATCTAGCAAATATGCATGCTTATTTTATTGAAGAGCCAGATTTATATACAAATTGTTTTCTTTAATTTAGAAAAATTCAATATTTTATGAAAACAGACATGAAAATTTGTATTAGGTTGTCTATCATAGCCTCTTTTGAACAGAGTGGGATTTGTAATGCCTTTTTTTTTTTCCAGCCCTATAAGGAAAAAATTTTTAAGCTTTTTAATTGAGGTTTTGTTAGTAATATACTAAGGGAGAGTATTCATTTGAAAAAGTCATTTTCTTTTCTGAGCATTGTGCACTTTCTTTATGAAAATAACTGGTTTACTTTGACATTTAAAGCTCACCTTATTAAATAGTAGGAGTTTTTCGAAATGCTTACTCTGTTTATAGCAATGTACCATTTGTGACAGTAAAGTACATGTATGAAAAAAGAGGAAAAAAATATATATATTTTTTGAGACAGGGTCTTAAAAAAAGTCATGTAGGCTTCAGACTCTCGATGTTTTTGCCTCAGCCTCCTGTGTGCAAGGATTACAGGCGTGTGCCATCAGGTCTAACTGAATTCACCCCCCCCCCTTTTTTAAAATAATTCATGAAATTTGAAGGTGGGAAATAAAAGATTCAAATGATAGCCAAATGTTATGTCAGAACTTAGTGTGAGTAAAGTGATTGAAAATTAAAAGTTAACATCTCAGGTTAGAAATCCTTGACATGATAAAGGTTTTAACACTTTTCTATAATATCTTTGTTTTGTACAATAGGGATAGGATTTCAGCAGATTCTTGATGATTCACAATCCTTACCTCCACCTTTAAAATAATTTTTTTTTCCCACTGGTAGCTCAAGTAGTAGAGTTCTTGCCTATCATGTGGTGAGGCCTTGGGTTCAATCCCCAGTACCCAAGGGAGAAGTTTCAAAGAAAGGAAGAATTATTTGCCTAACTTGTTTGATTGATTTACTGTAGAAACAGTAGTTTTAAAAAGCAAAGTGAGAATGGCTACTCAAATGAATACTCAAGTGATTTTTTTTTTTCTGGGTGAGATCTTTATAGGAGTTATCTCTTTTTGATAGGCTTCATTACGGTTAGCAAAGGTCTGCAAAGAAAAAATCATCGTTCAGTACTGGTACTAGTTTATAAAGAATAATAGAAGTACTTTATTTCTACCATAGAAAATTTAGGGCATATAACCTGTTATTTAGGAGGTTTATTTAGAGCCATTTTGTTTGGGTACTTTTTCTTTTTTTAAGTTTTTGAATCCTGGGTCAAACTTTATTTAGGTCTCTAGGTGACAACAAAACAAGATTTTAGCCTTTAAAAGTAACCAAAAACTTAAGTCTAGTGTAGCTACATAACCGTAAGTGGTCACTTACTATTTAGTTGTCTATACTGAGATGATACTGATTTTTAATATGTTACCATTGCTGCTTATAATTTGGATATACTGCTAATTATACATGAACATTGAGAATGAAAGGTTTAACCAGATTTAGCAATCCTTATTATGAGTAGTAGAGATGGTATGTTAACATTTTTTGTGTGGAATTCTTCCTCCTCTTGCTTTTAACAAAGTTACTAACATAGAAGGTGCTATCATCCCCATTTTGATATCTTGATAGGAGAATTGGAATAGAAGTGATTTTTAAAATTTATTGTTGAGCATAGAAGGGAAACCTGTGAGAACATATACACCAGAATACTCACTTTAGTTATGTCTGAGTGACATATTGACCAGTGGCTTTACATTTTCCTCTTTAAAATAGATTATTAAACATTTTTGTGATTAATATGTATTGTAAGTTGAAGAAAATTTTGTTCACCAGAAGTTCTTTTAGAAAGAGAACTGTATGAGATGGGCATGGTGATAAATGCCTGTGATCTCAGCACTCAGGTGGCCGAGGCTCCAGGATCACAAGTTCAGGACCAGTCTGGGCCATAACGAGTTCCAGGCCAATCTGCGCTTCATAGTGAGATCTTGTCTCAAAAAAAGAAAAGAAAAAGAAACAGAACTGTATTTATCTGTGAGGGTATAAAGTAAAACACTCAGGAGACCTGATTGCAGAATAAAGTATTTTTTTCAGTACTAAAGAGAAGAATTGGCTTGTTAGTACTAGAAAAAGAGAGCACGAAACAAAAACATTACAGTAGTAGAGCCAGCTGGATAACAAGAGTGCCATACTTATTTTGTGACATGACTTTCTCTTCTTCACCAAAATCTTAGGAGTTTTCTCTATTAAAATTGATTGGGAGTTGATTTTTGTTTTTTTTTTTTCCTTTTTGGCAGGAACTGGTAAGATAACTAGGTGGGATACAAATTGAGGTAGTACAGAAATGAGGCAGCTTCTGAGAATTCTGGTGTCTTGCAGCAGAGAAAAACACAAAGAAAGATGCCTTGTAACTCAAGTCATAGAGAAGGCTTTGAGCTTTCACAAGACTGAAATTATGGTAGGGTTAAATTTAAATAGGTGTCACATGAAGGTCAATGGTCTAGAAATCTCTGGTAAAGAGAAAACAAAGCCCCCCCCCCAAAAAAAAACACTTGAAAAGTCTAGCAACTTTAACATTCCCAGTCTTTTGCTTCAACTAACCTCTGCTGTCCGTTTCCCTTTCTGCCACCATTCTCTGTTCCTTTGGTATTTCCATGTGTGCGTGTGTGAAGCTTCGCAAATGGCCTTTAAGGGGATCTGCAGCGGTCTGGAAATAAGGTGCAAAATCTTTGTGTGGTTTTCTGGGAAGATTCATTACCTATATTTTTAAAGGGTCAAATACCTATCTTAACTTTTGACATTTCATGGTAAATAGTGCTGAGCTAGGTATCCAAATAAAATTTCAAATAAATACCTTATTCCACATAGGTGGTATTCATTGTTGAAATATTATTACAAAGTAAACTGTATGCTGGAGAGTACACTTGTTTTTAATCTGCACTCTTGGACTCTCGTTTCAGTTTTCATATACACTGTTCTAATTGGTATTTAGAAAGGGAAATCATAAATATACTTTGAAGAATTAAGAAAATATTATTAAAATGCATTCAAGAATTTGTTGGCAAATGTCAAGTAGATTAACCCAGACTCGATGGTGCATACCTATAATCCCAGCACTCAGGAGGTAGAGGCAAGAGGGGATCGTCATTTCCAGTCAGCCTAGGCTGTATAGTGAGTTTAAGGCCAGCCTGACCCTTAAACTCAGCCAGACCCTCCCTCAAAAAAACCAAACCAAAACCAAACCAAACCCCAATACTAGGTAGGTTTAGTAGAAAAAAAATGTTTGAAGAATCTGGAAGTTCCATTTTAACAAAGTTAAAGTAGTAAAATAGAGTTTAAAGAAACTAGGTTTCTAGGGCAAGGGCCTTTCATCCGTTGAAGCATTTTCTTTATGTATTTTGGGGAAGAGAATCCGTGGCTTCAGTTTATTAAAGAGACTCAACTCAAAAAATTAAGAACACTGTCATTAGAGTAAAACTAAGTAAAATTTACTTAAGCTTATTTAATGTAGCATGTATTTCAGAGCAATTATTTCTTCCCAATGTTTCATATACCTGTTTTCTTAAATATTAAAGACTTACTAATAATTAATTTTCCTTTTTAGTTGGGTGTGTGTGTGTGTGTGTTGGAACTGTATTACTGTTAGTTCTAAGGGTAACACCACCATAAAAGTGTATGACAACATAATTTTTACTATTTAGTTTTCAAAACTTCCTTCCATGCTGTGGGAGTCATGTTATATCATGGAAGCAAAGGAATGTAGTATTTTGGCCTATTGGATTTATCGATTTTAATCCTTGAACCTGATACCTCTCCACTAACATTCTTTAAGTATGCGTTGTGTTTCATTTCTTCGTAAAACAAGTTGAATAGA